AGAGAGAGAGAGAGAGAGAGAGAGAGAGAAAGAGAGAGAGAGAGAGAGAGGGAGAGAGAGAGGGAGAGAAAGAGACAGACAGATCAAAAGACACACAAACAGACACATACAGAGAGAGAGAGAGAGAGAGAGAGAGAGAGAGAGGGGGGGGAGGGATATTAAGAGAGACAGGGATAGAGTTGAAACTATGGAGAGAAAGATCGAGAGACAAAGAGAAAAAGGAGAAATATACAAATTAAAAAAAAACAACAACAAAGAATGGCCAAGAGAAAGAGTGAGAAGTATAAAGAGACAGGTAGACAGACATACAGACACGCAGACAGACAGACACGCAGAAAGACAGACACGCAGACACACATACAGGCAAACAGACACGCCAGTTACACTGTTGAAGGCGAACGGAAAGAATGCTGGGCAAATTAGGAATACTTTCCAAACTCAATTTTAACAAACCCATAAAAATAGCTGTTATAAAAGCACTATGTTGTATATACTCATATATTTCCAGTAATATGTGATGAATACTGTATCATACATGATTTATTTTCTGATGTTGTTATAGTCATTACTTCCGTTCCCAGAACATTGGTCAATAAAAGACGCTGTTATATGTTATATACATTATTTAAGACTTCACTGCTTTTCTCCGTGTTCCTCATTCGTGTAAGATTTTGATGTTCGTTTTGTTAGTGTTGTTTATGTTGTTAAAGTCGTTGTTCCTGCTTTCTTGTTGTTATCATTATAGTTATTTTTTTGTTTTTGTACCTGTTGTTTGTTCATTAGTGGTGGTGCCGGTGGTGGTGGTGATGAAGGTGGTGGTGTTCAATATAATATTATTCTGAAAAGAAATTTTTTCATTAGTCTTAGTGGATTTAGAACAGGTCAGTTCCTTGCAGAAATAGTCCCTTGTCAAGCTTACTTTAGATAATACTGTTAATAACCTTTGGAAACACTGGTTAAGCAATATAAATACATTTTCTGATTTGATACACAACAGAATGACAATCTACTGATAAAATTAAATGTATGAGACATAGCATTGTCCAGTCAATCGTTAGAAGACACAAGACATCGTCAAAATGCCCAAGACACCAAGCTGTATTTTGCTAGCATGCTCTCAACCATCAGGTGCAGGAGCCCTTAAATGTATGATGATACAATCTAGATAATTCAAGAAGCTGGTCGGTTTAACCTTGCCTAGACACAATATCAGAACAAAAGGATTAAGAAAAATTCTGTAAATTCACATAACATACCAAGAACAGGTCCCATTGAATTATATGTGTGTATTTGCAGGAGGTCCATTGCAAATGGTATCTATTCTTTTATTATTTTCCCCATAAATAATTCATTTCATACTAATGAGAATGTATTTAAGTTGTTTATCTCTCTCTCTCATTCTCTCTCTCTCTTTCTCTCTCTCTCTCTCTCTCTCTCTC